GGTTCTCGAGCGTATGGGTTTCGGGGGTTCTGGGGCTTAGGGTTTCGGGTTCTAGGACTGCGAGTTGAGGGTTCTCGACCGTAAGGGGTTCGGGGGTTGTAGGGCTTAGGGTTTCGGGTTCTAGGACTGAGGGTTTAGGGTTCTCGAGCGTAATGGTCTCGGGGGTTTTAGGGCCTAGGGTTTCGGGTTCTCGGGCTTAGGGTTTCGGGTTCTCTGGTTTAGGTTTAGGGCTCTTGAGCGCAAGGGTTTCGAGGGTTTCAAGGCTTCGGGTTTCAGTTTCTCGGGCTTAGGTTTAGGGTTCTCGAGCGTATGGGCTTCGTTGGTTCTAGGGCTTAGGGCTTCGGGTTCTCGGGCTTAGGTTTAGGGTTAATAGGGTTTTCGAGCGTAAGGGTTTCGGGGGTTCTAGGGCGTAGGGGTTTCGGGTTCTCGGGCTTGGGGTTTCGGGTTTTGGGGTTCAAGATTTGGGTTCTCGATCAAGCGTAAGGGTTTCGGGAGTTCTGGGGCCTAGGTTTTCGCGTTCTGGGGCTTCGAGTTTCGGGTTCTAGGACTGAGGGTTCAGGGCAAGGGTTTCGGGGATTGTAGGGCCTAGGGTTTCGGGTTCTCGGGCATAGGGTTTCGGTTTCTAGGACTGAGGTTTAGGCTTCTCGAGCGTTAGGGGTTTCGGGAGTTCTAGGGCTAGGCCCTAGCACAGCACTGAGCCATTCCCTTCCCTAGCACATGGTACCGGTTGCCAATTACTGAGCTGGCTTATTGGCTCCAAGACTTCAGGCTATGATCATGCGCTGCTGTTACGATACATGCTCTCTCGGGCCGTTAGGACACTTCGTTTTGAGATGTGTTCTTCGTTTTCCGTAGCATCTGTTTTTGCCTGTTACAATAGTAGCCTGCCTTCCCCTTAGCTGTCATCCGCCTCCTTTTGGCTGGCACTGACAGCTCCCACAACACGGAGCTTGCGCATTACAAAAAACGGGTTTCGACTGAGGGTTTAGTTAAAGGTTCTCGAGCATCAGGGTTTCCGGCATATTCGGGCATAGGGATTTCGGGTTCTCGGGCTTCGGGTTTCGGGTTCTAGGACTAAGGGTTGTGGTTCTCGAGCCTAACGGTGGGGGTTCTGGGGCTTTGGGTTTCGGGTTCTCGGGCTTGGGGTTTCGGGTTCTAGGACTGAGGGTTTAGGGTTCTCGAGTGTTAAGGGTTTCGGGGTTCTAGCGCTTCTGGGTTCAGGGGTTTAGGTTTTCTGGGTTGCGGCCTCTGGGTTTGTGTTTTTAGGGTTTCGGAGTTGCGGGCTTGTGGGTCGAGGGGTTTAGGGTTTGTTGGGGCTTCGGGTTTGGCGGGTGCGGGCTTCTGGGTTTAGGGGTTTCGGGTTTTTGGGTTGCGGGCCTTTGTGGGTTTGATGGTTTCGGGTTTCTGGGTTCAGGGGTTCTGGGTTTAGAGTTAGAGAGTTTCTGGTTTCAGGCTTGTTGGATGTTTCTGGGTATGGGGGTTTGGGGTTTTTTGGGTTAGGGTCTCTGTGGTCAGAGCTTTTGGGCTTCTGGGTTTAGGGTTTATGGGTTCATGCGTTCCGGGTTCAAGGTTTCTGGCTTTAAAGTCTATGGTTTCCAGGTTTCTGGCTGTTAGGGATTTCAGCGCTCGCACACAGACAATCCTCACTCAGCCGACCCAAGACCACACGTTAGGGGTTTAGGGTTTCTGGGTTCAGGGTTTCTGGGAGGTAGCACGAGGCCGCGTAAGTCAGAACTGTGCGCCACCAGTCAGTCTTTCTCAGTCTGTGTCGCCAGGATGCGCATGCAAACGATCAGCAACCCTAACGAAATCATACAATTAATCTGCTGGTGCATCTGTGCGTCGGACAGCCAACATCTCAGAATCCAGAGACGCTATGTTGCACAGCCATTTTAGTCCCCCGCTTGCCTGTCCCATGGTGTCCGTTTGGGGGGGGTTACACTCGCATCGTATGGGGCTACACACCCCTCAAATATAAGTCAGTGTGTAACCTGCCCGGGCAGTCATCCACAGTCCGAGCGCTAAGCATGTCGCGGGTACGATTCACGGGCTGTCGAGTGTCCGAGCTCGGAGGCAGCAAGTTTGTTGGAGTGAGGCCAGCTGCAGTCACGAGCCCCACTGCATTGGAAGTGCCGAAGGCGGAAAGCAGTGCCGATTTGAGTAGACGCTCCTTTGCATACGGACAGAGCGGTGATACAACTGAGGAAGCCCCGGCATCTCTGAAGGGTTCGGAGCTTCATGGCAACGTGCGCCTTCTGTGTGTTTGCTTAGAACCTTGAGTCGGATGCTTGCGCTGTTTTTTTGTCAGGCACGGAGCAAGGAGTTTGGAGATGGGAGCCAAACGGATCCACCAAAAGAAAAGGCTACACCACCGATATCTAGTGTGGAGACTGTGGCACCGCGCGAATCATCAAGAAGACCCTCAGCGGCGACGGTGACAGATGGCCCGAGGCAGGTTCTTGTCGAGGCATCCTCACTGCAATCAAGAGCACTGCGGTTCAGGCACGAAAAGAACTTTATTCCTTGCGATTTCCTCGATACGCAGGCCAACCGGTATCGAGCTTTGGACACGTACTGCAATGCTCCATGCACTGGTTGCAGACTACTTATCTCAAGCCAAAGAGCGGCATCAGTATGCTCAAAAGACTCCTGCAGAAGCTACGTGGCTGCATCAGGCCAGCTTGCTGTTCCCACCCTTGCTGATTGGACTCTGTGGTGCTGGCATCCCGCATGTTACTGGTACGACATGTATGAGTTTCATGGCCAGAAAGGACGGGGCAGGGCTGCGCCCTTGTGAGTCTTGCTTTCTCATGTTTTCTCCAGGGATGTCTTACGACGAGGTCAATATATCGCCCCGGAGCGAATTTTTCCTATTCGCTACATGGTATGAGTCGTTCTCTCTGAAAGCGTCATTTTTTCGATACATTTCCGGCCGTAGTGCACTGCAAGCTTAAGGACCAGGGCAACAGTCTTGTGCAAATCTGCTGGGAGTTGGGCACCTGTTCGTCCGAGTTGCTGGCTTCATTTTCTCTGGTCCACTCGTCCAATCACCCGGAGCTGTCGGATTCTGCGGTTCAGTGCTGAGGATTCCTGTCATTTTGCTACTTCCCTGCAAATGTTTAGAACACTCTGTTCTGGGTCGTCTCTGTGCACACCTGCTCTGCGAAACAAGTCGCTGGTGCACTACGTTCCGGCTGCAGAGGGGGATAGAAGTTTTTCTGTCGAAAGTCTCGGCATGCATACTGCCCGCAAAGTGGCAGACTGTCGGCATGAAGCCGATGTGCAGTATTCGGCGTTTGGCCCCTGTCTGCCTGGACGTTGCTTAAGTATGCGTTTAGCCTGTTCCTTATTTCGCATCCGGTGTCTATTCATGTGCTTAAGCTGTTCAATGAGTGCCACACATCCCGAGCATGTTTGAGCTGGTCTTTGAACGAATGTTTTGACTGTTTCTTGAAGGGCACCATTTGGAGTTTAAGGTGAAAAGCTTGAAGGTTAGAGGGTTTAAGTTTGAGCACTGGCTTAAAGTCTACGGATTAGGGTGGGAAGTTGAGAATCTTAAGGTTAAAGGGACCCACCCTTGCTGTAGGCCCAGCTGTAGCCCGGGCCCATGAGAACGCCAAAACAATGTCAGACGATCCATAAGCAGCCTTAATTGAGTTGCCCCCTTGTAAGCCCGTAAGAGCTGCAATTTCCAACGTGGTACTGTACCAGTGCCCTGCCTCTTGCACGAACAGTTAGATTTAAACACTTAGCCTCGTGCCTGGTTCGACCTGGTGTCAAAATCTCAATCGGTCTAAACACGACTAGTCAGAGGGCTGCCTCAGCGCTGTGGATCTTGCGCGACTCTGAACGAGCATGCTTAAATGCAAAGGTTTGATCCTTTAGCCTTTTGCTTGGTTCAACCTGGTGAAACAAAAGTTAAATGACTGGTCAGAAGGTTGCCTCGGTCTTTAAACGTTTAGCATTTAAACATTGATGCGTTTAAACAGTTTAAGACAAAATCCACATCCCTGCCGCCCGGTAGTTCTCCTGCCAGAGATTGAACCTGAATGTATGTGTCCCAAAAGACGACTCGGGACAAAGCCTTTCGGCACACTGCTGACTTGGGTCTAGAGAGGACAGGTCTCCTGAAAAGGCTTCCAGAAAATGCATTCCTAAAGTGTTGCAGGAGCAGTGTTCCGGAGATGCGAAATTGTTGAAACATGCTCAGACAGTCAACAAGTGTTCCCAAAAATGTGTTCCTGCAGCATGTCCTGTTGCAGGTATGAGCCTTTCAATGAGTACGAGAACAAAGTCAGAATCGGCGAATACAAGTCTGGGAGGCCGTCACTGAGAGTCGGAGGACGGGGAGGAATCCCATCTTGGCGCCAGGTTTGCGCTAAGCTTCGATCGACTAGGTGGCAGCAACAAGGCGGCAGCCGTGTGTGCAGAATCGCCGGTATTCAATCCCAGAACACATTGGGAGCCTGCAAGGGCGGTTCAGTCTTGGGAGGTGTGTCGTGCCATTTCATGGTCTAGGCAAGGATGCCTGACAGTTTAGGAGTTTAGGTGTCTTGAACTTGGGATTTAGGGTTTTAGAGTGGTAAGGAAGAGGTAAGGAGGGCGCCTCGGAAGAAGCCCAAACGAAGCGCACATCAGTGAGAACTGCACGAAGGAGAGCCATGCCGCAATGCCCGGTGCTACTAGAAAGGAAGCAGCTTGTCACTGCCGACATCGACTGTCTAGAACACCACGTGACGAAAGCTTGACATAGTTCAGTGGTGCGGACTGGTGAGTCGTGCTGACAAACATAGAGTCAGAGCTTGGGAAGCTTGCCGCGGGTTGGAGTTCCGCCGACGACAAAGACATTCTGCACCCAATACTGGCGGCAAGCCAAGTTCTGAATGCACCATTCATACAGACATGGTGCAGAATGGTTCAGGCATTGCAGACTCCAACAACTATGGAGTGTAGCCAATGCAAGACATTGAAACAGACGTCAAGGATTGTATGAGCAGAGCCATTTTCGAAGATGGCCCTGTGCAAACGTCGGGATGTGTTCCGGTAACTTTGTTTGTCCGGGATGCGTTTGTGATCAGCCCGAGTTGCCATATTGCCATGTGCAGCATCCACCGTGCTCGGACTTGCCACGAACACCATTGGGCGCTGTGCTGACCATTGGGCTTGACACTGAGTTGCTTGATTGTTGGCGCTCACAGGTGCTTTTGCTTGTTCACGCCTGTTCGAGGTTTGTTGCTCTCATTCTGACCCTCGTCATCAGGGGCATTGTTACGGCTGCAAGCAACGAGACAGAGGCCTTTCTTCCTCAGCGTTGTTGAGTGGTTGGTCAGGCTTTGTCAACCATCGCTGTCCTTTTGCCGAAACTTGTTTTTGGTGGAACTCGCGCTCAGGGCCAGGGTAGTTTTCCTCAAAAGGTTTGGCCAAGGCGGAGTGAACGCTGTAGCCTCTACCAGGGGGTTGTAACAGGAAACCTTTTTCAGGAACTGGCTCGAAACCGTTTCAGAAACCAGGCCTGCTGTAGCAGGAACTGGGGGGAGGCCTTTGACAGCAACCGGGAGGGGCTTGTAACAGGAAGTGCCTCTCTAACACGTGCCCTGCACTCGCCTCTTATTACGCACTTGAGGGTTTAGGGTTGTTAAGCCTATGGTTTTTCAAAGATTAAGGGTTCAGGGGTCCGGGTGTCTTGCAGTTTAGGGTTTAGGGTATAGGGTTTGGGAGAGGCGGTTCTTGGGAGGAGGGAGTGTGCGAACAGAGGGAAAAACGGAGCTTTCACGATAAAGTGTTGATTTAGAATCGATGTTTTGAAGGGGGGTAGATTCTGGGTTTAGGGCTGAGGGTTTGGGGTTTGGGGAGAGGAGCGGAAGAGGAGAGGGAAGAGGAAGGGAAAGTGGTTTGGTCTTGGGTTTAGGATTCAAGGAATATGGGTTTAGGGTCTGGGGTTGAGGTTCAAAGGTCGAGGGTTTGGGCTTTTAAAGCGTTTGTAAGGGCAAAGGGTTGCGAAAGGCTTTCAAGGTTATAAATGCTTATAAAGGGCTTCTGAGGGTTTCTTATCAGGGCTTGCAAAGCTTTTAAAGGGCCTATGAAGGGCTCATATGGGTGCCCTGGTAGGTAAGCTTATAAGGGTTTTATTAGGATTGTAAGGGCTTTTAGGGGCTTCTGAGGGCTTCTAAGAGCTTGTGAAAAGCTTCTAAGGGCTTTATGAGTGCTTGGAAGGGTTTTGCTTTTTAGAGGAATTCTAAACGCTCTCGAAGAGTAAACGCTGTAACTTAAAGACTCAACCAAAAACCCGGTTTCGGTTTCGTTGTACGACCCATGGGGTCACACCACTGACTGGCGTTACGGTTGTGGGGTCCCCGTACACCTGCCAAAACATGTGTTCGATTCAGGTTAGTGACGATCCATGGGGACACCACTGACTGGCGTTAATTAAGGTCCTGGGCTTACCGGGTTGAGCACTCCAGAGTAGTCTTTGGGGTTGGGTACTCCAGGGAGTCTCACGCTAGTTTCTGGGGGTTGAGTGTCACGATAGTCTTTCGGGTTGGGCACTAAACGGAGTCTCACGGTAGTCTTTTAAGGTTGGGCACCCCGGGGAGTTTCGCAGTAGTCGGTGGGGTTGGGCACTTTAGGGAGTCTCACGGCAGTCTTTGGTTGGGCACTCCAGGGATTTTTCGCGGTGGTGTGCACGACAGCCAGGCAAAGCGAAAGCATTGGCTGGACTCAGCGATGCTGCTTGGGATCACGCTGGGAGGGGACCCACCTCTGAGCGTCTCCGTTGCCGCACCGGCTATTCAAGCAGCGATCCAAGCCTCGCGCGTAGCCGAGATCAGCGTCCTCGAGGCTACTCAATTTGGGGCTGATTTGGAGAGCTGCGAGGCTGAGTTGGGTTTGCTTGATGTGGACCGCTTCTTTCTCGCAGCGTGGAGGCCGTGAAGGGAGGCCTTGTCCGACCCGAAGCAAAGCGGACTCCGGAGCAGATCTCTGCCATGAAGGTCAGGGTCGTGATGGTCGCGGATCTGGGTCTGGCCCCTTTTGCCAACTTCATGCTCTTCGTGAACTTCCAGTCCAGGTTCTCGCATTCATTCCGTGAAGTTCCGTAACCATGTCCTCTGCCCGACGGGACTTTCAGAGCGGTCGAGGTGCCCGGGCCCCCGTCGTTTGACGCTTGGCTGGCCGCAGAAAATAATCGAAAACACGCTGCTGATGCTGAGCATGGAGTTAAGGAACGCAGGTCCAGGCGCAGCCGGGGCTTCCCCCTGCAGCGGTCCTCTGCGGTCACGAGCAGATGCCACACCTCTGCGTAATGCGAACACAAGTCCCTGAATCTGATCTGGACTTCTTTTTGGACGATGCTTCTGACAACCTTTGTTGACCCAGGCCAAGCGGAAGGCCGCAAACGGGAGAAAATTGCGGACAAGCTGCGTGGCGCTAGCCGAGCTCCACTTGGAGCTGGGGCGAGCTTGTACCATCGAGAACCGGGAGAGCTCCATGATATGGGCACGGTCATCCTGACCAATGCGTTTTTTGGAGCTCCGTGCCGGCAGGCCACGGGGACGTTTCGAAGCAAGGAGTGCATTGACATTGTGCTCCCCGGCGGGCAGGACGCTGTCCAGGGGTCCGAGCGGCGGCCCCTGGAAAGTCGAGAGGTGGCTGTGCTCATGTCAGTGAACATTCAGCATGCTTTTTTACATGAAGGTGAACGATTCATGACTACCGATCGTGCGTCATCGTGTAGAGATCGCCGCCATCTTGGGCACCGCAGCTCCGTGCACAAAATCCTGGTGGCCCTGGTCATGGTGGGAGCAGGCTCGCCGCCAGGAAGCTGGCTTTGGGCGCAGCATGCCCTGCATAGGCACCCAGCTCACCGTGAAGGCAGGGGACCGCCTCAAGGTGCACATGGATAAGACCAAGACGAAGAAGCTCCTGCGCAAGGTGGAAGCGATGCGCGAATAAATCCACTCGACAATGCTTCAGCTCTGGTCATTGCCCCGGCCGTTTCTTCCAAGGGTGCCGGGAACAATCAGCTCGCAGCAGAGATCAGTTTGGGTTTAGAACGCCTGGAGCTGGAGGCCGCTCAGCCCCATCACTGGCGAACACCGTCAAAATTGAGGCTGACACGTTGTCTCGCTTCGGCGATGGTAAGCCTTTAGCCCGCAAGGCTTCGCGAGGTGCCACAGGGCACCATCATCTGTGACGTCAGCATGTTCGAGATGCACCGTTGACGCGTCGGCTCTGGCCCTCGGTGGGTTTTGCGCGCTGCGTGAATGCTTTGGCGGATGGTGGGGCTCACGGCAAGCCAGGGTGGCCGGAACAGGAAGAAGCAAGCCGAGGGTCGTTGGACGGACAGTGAGGGCAGCGAGAAGAGGCGACGAGTTTCTGTCAGCACAAACAACTTCGAAGGCCCAGCAAGAGAATGCTGAAGCCCAACAAGAGAATGCTGATGGCAACGGTCGTGACACGTGGGACTCTACCTTGCCATACCTTGAGAGCCGCCCTGGAAATGAGTCTTCGCCCTGCTTCCGTGAACTCGGCGAGTTCCGCCTTCTACCTGGCTGGACCCGGGTTCGGGGCGCTCTGGTCCTGGCACAGATCGCGCAGGACCTACTGCAGCTTGCCCTGGACCGGGATCAAGGGTCAAGAGTGCCTTCCACAGATTTGGAAACAGCTCGCAACAGGGGCGCAAGGATAAGGTCAAGAATGACCGCAACGGAGGTGAAGATGGTCTCACGGCCGCTGCAGCTCGGGAACCCCGACGCCCATACACCATGTATGCAAAGCAGGGGCGATTGCATTGGGTTTTGCGTGCCTGCCATTCTCATGCGGCTAGCTGACAGGAGCCCGTTTGCCAAAAGCATCGAATGTGTTAGACCCAGCTCACCTTCTCCCCCAAATTGCTTTGGCACAAGCGCATGTTTACCGTAGTGATCGCATTCTAGCTGTCGCTCACCGAAACAGTGGTCGTTCAAGTTGTTTCAAAAGCTCGGGTTGTGGGCTGCGCTGCAAGTCTTTTAGCTGATAATGAGCGTGAAATCCCGGGCCTGCATGTCAGACCATTAACTTGGACTATGTAGCCATCAACCTCGATTGCATCAACGAGGATCGTGCAGTCGCCATCGAAGGGTTGTTGGATCCCTAGGAGCTGACAGCCAAGCCGCTCCGCCAGTCTTCAGGACCTGAACTCCGTGGATTTGGCCTCCTGCCGATATGAAGTTGAGGTGTTGGTGTTTTGCATTGTTCCGTCCAAGATGGTGGCTTCGCTGTCAGGCCGAGGAGGGAGGTCTTGGACAGCCATGGTATTGGATATCGCAGATGATCGGGGAGGCTTTAGCATGTCATGAATCACGGTAAACCAGCTTTATGGCCTCATATGGCATCATGTTGAGGCAGCTATACCTTCTCTGGATGTTCCGGTCATGGAGGCCCATCTGGGTTGACAAATACTCTTGATACCTAACTTTTCTAGAAATCTGGCAGCGATGCCATAGAAAGATCTGCGAAGGTGCGCCTTACGAGTATTGTGCAGTTCTTTGAGAAGACAAGAGAGACCAGCTTGGACAAGGTGCTGCCTGCCTGCGAGGGTTCGAATCTGTGTGTCGGTAGATGTGGTGCCTCGACAGGGTCATACAAGATTCGAAAGTGATCAGGTGATTATCACCGATCTTCTGGGCTTGTCCGAGTCTTTGGTCTCCAGCAATGAGGCATTGCACAATGCTGCAAGCCTCGCTGGGATCTCTGGGCTCTGGAGTGCAACCTTCATGCCACGGTTGCAGGCGACGCCACCTACGCTGTCGGCGGTGGACAGCGTGCAAGCTCCATTGGGCAGGAATCGGTGCAGAATGAACTATGTCGTTGCAGGATTTTGCAGGTAGTCGGCACTTCTTCCGCCCCTTGCAGTTTTCACGAGAGCAGTGCCGTGCTGACATCCAGCGTCCTCTCGAAGACGGTCAAGACTTTCAATGACATGCAGGCGCGAGTCGTCTGCAGCGGTTCAGGTCTTCAGCAGTATGCCTTTACTTAATGAGTTAGTCTAAATTCAGCTATGGCGACTCGCTGTAGAGGCATCGATGGACGTTCAGGATCAATCTAGCTGTTTGTGGACAGAACATAAGTATCGGCGCCTCAGGCAACACGTACTCGGATTGATTGTCCCTCCGAGCCAGCGTGTGATGATAGCAACCATTGTGATTTTCGAGTAATGATTTACTTCTGGCAGCTGCGATTCCGAATTGGGGTTTGAGAGACTTCGTCAAAAAAGGTTTCACCGACCAAAGGAAGACCACATCGCTCTCAACTGAACTTGTAACAGCCGCAACTACAGCACCGGGATCTCTATCCTAATCGAGATTGCCCCGTACACCCCGATCAGGTGACAGGCGTACCCTGGATGAGAAAGAAAGCGACGTGCCTGACAGACGGACCAAACTGCAACAATGCCCTACGTCAGGAAGAAATGTCAGGCCAACATGCAGGAATGCATTAACAATGGAACAAACTACAGGCAAACACTAAGTCGCCAGGTTGCAAAGCTAAGAGTCCATCCCACTCCTCTTGAATGTTGCAGGGTTCTGCTGCCAGCCATCTCTTTGACGACACCATGATGTACTGGCGAGACCCTTGAGCTTTCCGTGGTCCTTCTCTCATGAAATTGGCAGTGGCCGAGTGGCCAGGTATCTCAAACGCAACGTCTTTCAGAGCTTGGCAGATTTCTTTGAGCACAAGGTGCCCGAGCTCCGCGTAATCGCAATGACGAAGTGCCAAAGGCAGCACAGCACCGCTTCACCTGCCAGGTGGCACTGTATATGCGATTTGATAGGCTCTGAGCTGGTTGAGTCACGGGTGCTATTCTGTACTGTGCAGCTGTGGCAACTGTTGCGGATGCCGGTGGCCAGTCGTGCTGCAGGGACCAACTGCGACAGCTAAAAAGCTGCCAACTCCAGGCCAGATATAAGAATCCACCAGAAGCATGTCGTGCTCGCATGCAGTACTCTTGGAAGCAGGTGGGCCTGGTGAACGAAGCCATGTTCAATCTGGTCAAGGACAAGCCAAAGCTGCTGTTGAACGGGGATTCCCGCTTGGAATTTGAGCCTCTAGATGCAAGCGGGCTTACTGCTGCCCATAAGGTGGAAGTGACAGAATCATGCATGTTAACAGCCCAAGATGTGCCAACGACCGTCACAAGATCGCTCTGGGTCCGTCGTGAATGTGGAGCTTTCGCGAGATGTAGTCATTGTCATCGACACGTAGTCTGAAAGGGTTAGTTCGATATCTCTTGAGATCGTTGTGGGCTTTTGGCACGTCAAAGCCTGAGCGAACTGCTGTTATTGGGCGAAATAGCTTCTGTGCTGGTATGAAGTCCCTTCATTTCCCGCCCAGCTTCCGGACGCTTCACTTCGTGCATGGCTACTGCTGTGTGTGTTCTTTTGACTCAGCACCTTAACTGTAGCATGGAAGGACGACATCAAGGAGGATCGACGGATATTTTCAACGTTTCCCTTTCTGAAGCTGTTTCCTTAGCCTCACCCTCATCAACTGCTTCTGCCGTATTTCGCCGCATGCCGAGGTCTAATCCGTTCTGTTGGCAGCCAGACAACTGGAATCCCATCACGCATCGGTGGGGTGAATGCTGGCTGCAGATTAAATTTTCGAGATACTTCCAACCCGATGTCCCTCGCAGGTTTTCTCCCGGCACGGATGCAAGCGTGACCGCAAATCTTGTCACATTGCAGGCATGATGGGTTGAATCTCAAGCCCGATGCAGTGGTAGGCTTTGCTGCTGCCAAACCGTCTCAAAGTATGTGAAGAAGCCGCAGGAAACCATGCGATTAGACGAGCTGCTGGAGTTCATCTTTGCTACAGGTTGGACACTACCCCAGGCCCAAGCGAGCTTTGAGAATCAAGTCCAAGCGTGTCCAAGCCAACTTACGTGATAACTTACGTGACTGTAGCTCACAGATATACAGTTTTTCCACTTGTCTGTTCTGAGACGTTGGAGGAAGTGTCCGTACAAAAGGCACAACAATCGGAAAACTGCTGCATGAATTCCAGCGCTAAGCGCTCCTGATCACAGTAGTTTTGGCCTCTTGATTCTCTACAAAGATGCCATGTAGGCCCCATCTTCAGCAGACATCAACTTGAGGCTGAGGCACGTTCCGCTGCAATTTTCTGCAGAATGCTGAGCCGTATTGAGTGTTGAGCTTGAAGGACGAAGCTTGCTGGCGAGTGCGATGCTTACGAGGAGAGATCTTGCCTGCTGCGGCATGTGCAAGGTAAGGGCAGTGAGGCAAAGCAATGCATGAGCTTCCCCAGGCAGCTGCCCAAAGGCTAAGCATGCCAAAGACATTTAACTCTGCAGTGGTAAAGACTTTCAGGTCATGTTTTGGACTTGGGATAGTTTCACAAGGTTGAAGACAGTGTATACTCCTACTGGGTTCGGCGCCGCCATAGTGTCGTCAGAGTCCTGGTCTTACAAGGATTGCAGCTCTAAAAACGCCTTCGATACATGAACCAGCATTAGAAGCTCTCACGGGATGTTGGAAGCCGAAATCCGGTGCCATGGATGATCTCCTTGCCCAGTTGAAGACGGCGAACCCTGGTGTTCCAGAGGAGGTGCTATGGCAATTCCTGCAGCGGCGATTGCGAGGCGACGTTCACGACCGCGACAGGTCTTGAGATATGGCTGTTGTTTGGCTTTCGGTGCCACATTTAGCACGCAATCTGCAGTGTTGTACAATCCAGGCGAGTATCCTACATCCTTTCGTTCCCCACTGGACCGGCTGAATCACTGTCCTGCCGAAGAAGCTGCAGCACGGACAGCAGAACCCAAAACAATCCGGCTCAGAATGCGCTGCCACTGCGGGAGATGTTCCTTGGACTGGGACGTTAAAACTCGGCACTTGAGTGCAACACGATGCTATTGTCCCGGTTGCCGCCACTTTCAAGCCAGTGCTTTCGCAGCCTACCTCGCAGTCTCTGCGGTACCTCTTGAACTGGCAGGCGGGTCGGCGGAGACGAACACAGAGCAGGTGTGAACAGAGAGAGCAGCTTCCTTTGTTCGTGCCACGAGGTGGCCACGTTCAGAGGCTGCGCGGGACTTGCGAAACCCTCGATTCGGTAGAGAGGCGGGCTTTCGTGGCTTTGGGTTTTCCGTGGTGTCTTGCCCTGTTCCGAAGGCTGCTGTGTTCCAAGTGCTTCACCAAGCTCGCTGTTTTGCCTCTTGGAAGACCAGGCCAGCATGCCCAAAGCGTTTGTTTAATGGTCTGGCAAATCTGGTCCTGCTGAATTGGCTAGGCGAAATTCTGCTTTCTCTGGGTTCCGTGACAGACGATTCGATTCCGGCTTGGCTGGCATCAAGGTGGCAGACTTGTTTCGAAGAGTGGAATCGTGATTCCGAGCCATTATGGTGGCGAGCAAGACCTGGACCATGTGCTTTGCCTCGTCGCAGCCTGCAGTTGCAGGGTGGCTGCTCATGTGGAAGATGTTCCTTCGAAGCAGAACTGCTTCCTGGCGAAGCGCAGCACTGCTACTGCAAGCTTTGCCGGCAGATGTCTGGTTCTGCCGCCCAGACGTGGCTTCCTGCACCCAAGGAGAGCTTTCGTTGGACACGTTCTGATGCCCTGCAGCTGATGCGAACAACTGGCCACGGCCAACGGCATGTCTGCACGGCTTGTGGGACTGTGATGACCATTGTGTATGACTCCCAACCGGACTGCATCTGGCCTGCAGCAGGCACGATTGATGATGCCAAGCTGAGAAAACTCGATGTGGGCGCAGGTCGCACGGTAGGTGATGCTGCTGATCCGATGTGGTACCGTGTGATTCATATCTGTTGCGCATGGATGCAATCCTGGTATCAGCTGCCTGACGATGGGCTGCCTCGGCTAAAGTTTGCTGGCTGAGGAAAAACGTCAGGAAAAGTTGTGAGTGCCAAGCCTCTTCTGAGAAGACCAGGCGCCGTTGTGATTTCGGCAGGATTTCCAAGCGTCGTGTTCAGCGTGCAGCCACCTTCCTTGCCGAAATGGTGGGTGGCCGCCTGAGAATCCGTCCCGCCAAGATCCTCTGAACACCAAACTCACCTCAGGAACTGCACAGACCTGCCCGGATTCAAGTACCGGTGTAGCTGCGCGGAAGGTTTCTTTGGGGAGGTGGGAAGTAAGGCTATCTGTTAGTGAGCGACGGATGAATTGATCGGGCAGGATTGCTCGGAGACGGATGTTTTCGGGACGCAGCGGCGGCTCGACGTGACGGAGGATTTCACTTGCAACTCTACACAGGTGGGGGTCTGAGATGTCTGAGTCATACCGTAGACAGCAACAAGCTGCAATTGACTGGAGAGGCCGAGTCCGAGTACCCAGACGGAAAGTTCTGGTGCCAGTGTCGAAACGGCTCTGAAGTTTTGATCAGGCGCGAACGAGCTTCAATAGAATACTTTCTGCACGTGCTGCTATGATTCACTCCGAAGGTCCAACTTGATCTCTGTGATTCAAAGCTGGGGCATCTTCTTTAACTATGCCTGAGCCCAGGCTTACGGAACGCAGTGGCAAAAGGAAAGCTCTGCTTGCCGGGCCTGACTTAACTCCGAGGTGACCAACTTCAACAACAGCTACTCCGAAATAACGTGTGCAGATGCAACCATGACGCCTGGCCGTCCTGTTGACTTTGTTGAACTGGTCATGGGGACAACAGCGACGCCTGCTTCATGACTCGCGACATGTTGCGAAAACAGGCACCCTGGGCAGCTTCATGCTAGCTGTAGGGATGCTGGACTGCCAGTGTGAAGACGACTTCGAGCCAGAATGCCTTTGCCACCAGTCTGAGGTCCAAGCTTGGTAATGGGGTGTCACACATTTTGACATCCTGTGTGGGTACGGACGCCACCCTGTTTGGTGTTCAGGACGGCAGCTGCTCCGAATGCGTGTTGGCCTTGGTGACCAGGTGGTCCAAGACATGTAGAGTCTCAGCAGGCGCTTTTGTGCTGAAGACACACCTTCATGAAGGGTGAGGTGACCGGGGAGGTGAGGAAGGAACCCATCAGGAGGTTTGAGGTCACGGCAGTCTTCAGGAATTCCACTGATACTGACAGTAAGAATATAGCCATGCATATTCACAATGACGTACTCTTGCCCAGATGTGGCAAGGTCACAAGACGAGCTGTACATTCAGCAAAAGGACTGGGGAAGCGGGTGCTCGGCTCAGTGGCAGAGTGGGTTTCGATCCAATACCCAAGTACGTCAACGCAAGGTTCGCGAGAGCCCCACCCTTCTACCTGATGCTTTCGGGCCTCGCTGGTATCGAGAGGGTTCTGATCAGCGAAATCCAGGTGCATCGAACTAAGATCGTGAACTTCGGGCACCGAGTCATTCGCATCTTCAGGTTCCCAGCTCGAATTCCACCGATCCCTTCGTGCTTCAAGCTTTCCGGGGCCTTGACAGCGGATTCCGTCTAAAGTTTGACCTGGAGGCAGTCCTGAACGAAATTTATTGACAACTACGGGGCTGAGTCCCTGCAAGGATCCAGGCGATCCGCCTGCCACCCCGTCCAGCAAGTGGATCTGCCACGCGAGGCCAGGCGAGCAATGTGTGCCTATCACGCTACATGACGCATTCTACGAATGAGGCTCTACAACGATGGCAGGCCGGACAGACAGCTTTCGGATCATTCAGCATGGGAGTCCTTGCAGCGGAGGCAATGCGACTGTCGATGTGGGATGCCGGACCCAGACTGCCACCTGGCTGCACAGGCTGTTCGTTCTTGATCCTGCTTGACGCTCGATAGCTGCTAGCTGCTAGCGGCTGTCCGAGGGGTATGGTCCGTAGTTTTGAATGGCCACTCAGGTTTGTATCCAAATCTGCCGGTGACGAACTGCGGGCGTGGTGAGGCCTCTTGCAAATGCCAACAACTGGTTGTGAGATTTGCATCGCGAGCGGAATCGCCGCACCAAAGCTGCAGGTATGCTCAAGGATGGGACGCTGCACAACACCGGAGGCAGAGTTTTCTCGTGTACGTGGTGTTTTGTGAGCGCGCATGTTGCGGCTTGCACAGGCCTCTGCAGGTCTTTCAGATGCTACACAGGTGTATGTATCTGAACCGCGTGTGGCTGAGATCACCTCGCCGAGACCTGTTGGTCATTCCGGACGTCGAAGAGGGGAAGTTGTTTCCCTGCGATTCAGGTGCACCCAGCTGTTCCTTCCTGGCAGTACCGACCTGGTCGGCGACACAGAGGGTTGAAGACCGAACCCCGCCGGACCTCACGCAGAACTTCCGAGGCGGGCTTCATGGGCACAGAGGAGGAGTATCGGAACGTCACTGACCCAGCATCACGATCCTCTGTCCGACTGATCCTCCTGAACGATCCTAAACCGTTTCAGGTTTTTTCGGCTTTTAAAGCCAAAGGCAAAGCATGACAAGCAAATGACGAAGTCATTTTGCGCCCTCCAAATAATGTGCTTGAAGAGAAGTCTTGCTGAAACATCCTCGGATTTGCAACCTGTAAGACCATTTGGGAAAAATCGAGCAGGCGTGTGCACGACGCAATGGTCAGATCCAAAATTCGCACCCGACTGGAGGAACGCGATTGACAGCACTAGCACGGACAGCCTTCTCGATGCACTTCGCCGATTGGTATTACAGATTTGACATGGTGCACTGCCGTCATGCTATTTTACAGATCAAGGGTTTGCTCCACACAAAAAGCCCTGAACTCTGGCATTTCACAAGGTGCCATGTTGTGCCCACTGGCTGAGTTGGATGTCTCGTCTTTGGATGCGCTGATTTGGCTGACACTTTGCTTCTTGCCTCCTCCGACCGTCTCTTTGCAGGAACTCCTTTCACGACGCTGGCAAACAGTAGGAATTTGGAACTCTATTGGGACAGTTCTCAACTCCTTCAGGTAAACTGCTATGCTTCTATTCGGATCACCCCAGCGGGTGAACGAATTGAGCCCAATCCCGGATCGGTTCTTCCTGACAACGGTCTATGTGCGTCATGAGCTTGGTCGTCGAATCGGCATGGCAAGAGCTGATTGTCATGCATTGCAGATCTGGAAACGTATTCTTCGCTCTTTTGCGACATCTTCTCAGAGCTCTCCTCGAGTCCCCAAACTCTTGCAGAGTCAGTCCTTCGTCTGTGTCTTTCTGACGAAGGCCAAGGACTCAACGGCTTTCAAAACCACTTGTGTCAAATTCTGCGCATCCCACGCGCCTGCATTCAATTCTCGGGTATCCAAAGCTGAAGTCCTTCGCCATGCCCAGTTTTCATCATCGTGCAGCCACACAGATGTTATTCCAGCGCCAGCTGCTCCTTTTACACAAGTCTTGAGTGCTCATCGCCTCGGTAATGCAACCTGCAACCGACAGATGTATCAGAAGTGTTGGGACGTGAGTGGATCAGTGAAGTGAGGCACAAGGCATTGAAAGTTTTGGACGGTCGCCGTGGAGTAGCAAGACTTGACCACAACCGAAGGCCGTAGAACATCTTTGGGAGCACTCACTCAACAACCGGCGACCATGTACCGAAGCTTTCGTTCTTCGGAGCTGCTTGGTGAATTCACCGCGCAAGCAAATGCAGACCACCGTCATGTGACGCCAGTTTGTCAAATCAGGTGAGTGGAGGTGGATGTCCTACTTGTCCTTATGAGCCCGGCGATTTGTGCGCCAGATCTATCTGCTGCAACTGCTTAGTTTAAAGCCGGAGGCAAACCAGCGGCAAGCGACAGGTATGGCGGTGCAGCGTCGTTGAGCGAGAACTGCGATGACAACGGTCAGTGCTTCCAGGACGCGGTAAAACCTAGAGAGAAATCAAAGGTTTAGGTGCCGTGCTGTAGTTAATCTCATCCGCAAGGAGTTCATGTGCCGATACAAGGCAAGGCATTGGTGCTAGCCATGAAGCGCATCATGGACAGCAAACAGACTTGCAGAGGCTGAAGGCTTCATCGATGCTCGCCTGGTGAAGCATTTCGACGAGTACCTCGAAGGTGAGTGCACGCCGACACTGCTTCAGCTTCAAATCGAGTCTTCTTGCATCATCAGGAGCTGGAGAGGTGTTCGACTCTGCCAGACGGGGCTTTTACACTTTGGAGGTACGTGTTTTTCGTGTTGTTTGTGCTGCATCGTCGCCAGCCACTTTGCGAGTTGATACTGATAGCGTAAGTTCGCTGAGCAGGGTGGTGCCACGAATGCAAGCAACGCTTACCGACTGGTGGTTGTGAAGCTAGGAAGCAGGACTGCCGGCATGCACAGTGGCAAGTGGCACTTCGAATCTCATGCATTAAAGTGTGGCAAGGAGCCCTTTCCCCTATGGCAATGATGTTGGCGCATACAAGCTAGACATCAACCAGGCATTGAACCCGCAGGCATGAAGTTTGTCCTCCATGCACTCACTCCCTGCCGGAAGGATTGTGGCGGCACCGCATGTGGGAACAAAGAGATCATAGAGGTACGTGGCTTCTGCTCAGCGGGCTACAGTGTCAGTGTGGAGCTGGAGTGCTCGTGAGTGCAGTTCCGGGCAGGTAGTCCGAGCAGGAGCAGTCCTGTCTTGTCTACTTGGAATGACATCAACCGGCTAGCGGCGGCTAGCGGTCTTGCACGTGTTGCGGAATAGCAATGAATCGCAGTGTGCAGGAGCACCCGATCGGAGCAACAGACAGGCACAATCTCTCAATATGCGTGTAATGCACAGGATCCTGCTGTTCAGCGAAAACCAGATAATTAACCAATCTCAGGTCCTGATGGTCAGAGCCTTGGCTCCAAGTGGGTGTCTTCCTGAGTTTGATCGAAAGCCGCAGGTATCGATGCGCAAGCAATCCCATTCGTTGTTCTGAAATTGTTCAGGTTTCAGAAGCAACACTTCTCCATTGGCAGTATTATCTCAGCTTTGTCGGAGGCACAATTGGCATGACTTTCTTATCTTTGGAAGCTATCTTCAAGCTTGTAATGATTGCAATGTTGCGTTACCCTGATCCTGATGCAGAGCTCGACAGACGTCATTGTGGAACTTAGCAAGGCGCGCCTCACATAGATTTTGGCATTCGGAGTTGTGGTCCATAGCCCTGTTGGCGCACAGGAAAAGTATCACTTCCCGATCAGTGGACCTTTCCAGGGACAGTTGGATGCGGATCTCCTGGCAAGAGTTGCTGGAATGTTGCTTTGATGCGCAGATTTCTCCCTGCATGGCCAGATTGGGATTCAATTTCAACAATCCTCCGCGACACAGACCAAGAAGGTCACACTGAGTGGATTGAGGGAGGGAAGCAGCGGATAGATGCGGATAGAGTCGGATATAAGATTTAGAGGGAGGGAGTAGCCGGGAGCCGTGGTGTGTTTGGTTGGGATGAGTATCGAGATGGTTTGCAGGCATTCGGCATGACGGTATGATCAAGCAAAGCAGGTAGGTCAATAGGTATGGACCGACGCTCGGCTCCACTAGGCATCCATGCACACGTTTGCGTGCTAATTTATCTTCATGAAAGCGTTTTAGCAGATAATTCAACATCTGCACGCATCCGTGTCTGCCTGTCTACACGTAGGTGTGTATGGAAGTGAACATGTATTCATCTTTCTACATAGCATATTTGCCTGTCCCCGCTTTGCGTGAGGGTTCTAGAATGTCTGATGCCCTCACAGAGGGACAGAGAGCGCCTCCACTTCGGCTGCTACAGTTATGACCAAGTTCTGCAGATCCAGCGCCTCCTGCTGGAAACACCCCTTGAGCTGACAGCCGGCGTTCGCACAAGCTCGGGTCCAAGGAACGGTTAACTTGAGGAAAGGCATTGCTTCGAAGCCTGAGGTATAGTTCAGGATGTGCCTCAAGGCGTGGCAACGACACGCATGCTGCGCTAGGATCACATTTCTGTAAGGGTTCTTCAGTGCTGACAGTTTCACGGGCAGGTATGAATCCAGACGCAAGCCTTCATCCGAAAGCTGCCTTTGACGATGCGGTGACGATCGCCTCCCATCCTTGGTATGTGCGGTTCCCAACGGTTCCTAGTTCCTGGCGTTTTCGCTAGAGCCGTGTCCTCTGTCCCTGGAGTCCAGCCTTGCAGCATAAGCCTCAACCTGCAGCAACTGGAGGAGTGGTGGATAGTGGTGGTGAAGGGGGTTCTGCATTAAACAGGCCCTCAAAGCCGACGAAGTATTTTCAAGCTCAAGCCCGCAACCCTGAACCTTCGTTTAAACCGGAATAGCTTGTGTCGCAAAGCCAAACAAAGTGGCTTTTGGTGTCGTAGACTACGAGTATATTCACCCACCCAGTCTTTGTGGGATGCTCTTTGGGCCTGGCGGGGGCCTGGCGTGGCTCAGGTCAGCTCTGTAAGGCTTGTTGATTGATCAGTCGTGCGTGTGTGTGTGTGTGCGCGTGAGACATGGAGATCATGATAGATCATGTCTTCTGCATTTGTTGCCTTGTCAGCTGCAAGTAAGTCTCCTGGTTCCGCAGCGACTTCTCTTCGCAGGGGGCGACAGTCGTATCGAATCAGCTGGACATGTACAGCCCAGAACTCAGTGTGTCATGCGGCGGAGTCTGTGAAGCTTTGTTGTGCCATCTTGTTGCCAGGCTGGGAATGGCCCACGCTCTCCTTGCCAGCTTTAAGTTTGCAGAAATTTGGGTCCCTGCTTGGGAGAACAACACTCGCTTGGCCAGGGTCGACCTGTACGGTCTGGGAGCTATCCAGTCGACATCCTCGCTGGCCTTTGCCTTCAACACCTCAGAGTCACTCAGAAGAACTTCGTGTCAGAAAGCCGAACCGCTGCATGCTTTTACTCATTCAGGCTACTTGAGCCACTTTATGCCCTTTTGCAGTTGGCTTGCTGCCTGAGAATGTAGCTTCGAAATCCCGGTCACTGGGGGCATCCCGAATACTAAAACAGAAACAATGCTACCTCGGTCCCAAACCGCCTCAGCAAGTTCAGTCGCTGGCTCCACGCCTATGTTGAGCCAAGCCGTGCCAGCTTCAATCTTTCAGGTTTGTCGACGAAGACAGGGGCAATGGGTGCTCGGAGGCACAGAAGCACTCGGCATGATTCGGTGGAATCGCATTTGCGTCAGGCTTATATGGAGAACACATCGACAATGAAATGGGTTAAGGCAGGGCCTGTTTGGAATTCAACTCTGTCGCTTGCAGCATGTGCTCGTTTTTGACCATGAGTCAATCCTCTGCGATGGGGGTTTCAGGTTGATGATGCCTGGCAAGGGCTTTTTGGATCTGAGGTGGCAATTTGCACGCGGAGACTCGCGTGGACTGCAGGCTTGAATTTGCCTAGCTCATGGTATACCCGACCAGGTTCTGCCTGCCATGCTATGTGACGGAATTCATGACGGGCATGCACTGGCTACGGATCAGGGTATCACAGAGGCCACGGCAGCAGATGGCACAATGACAAGATGCATCGCAGATGCTTCAAGGCTTTGGCTTCAGCAACAGCCCAGAACAAGTCCCTCATTCTTCTGATTCGTGACATAACAGCTTTCACCTGAGCGCAAGCCATCAGCATGCTGTCTATCTCGTTTTGGTCATGTGCTTTGGTTCCAGAGGGCACGCAAGTGACGAACTTCGAGATCCGCGAGGCACGCTGATCTGGGAATTGCCTGCCTCGATTTCAGCGATTTGCAGGTGGTGAATGCATGGAAGTACAGGGCCCCGGTGTGGTGGCCGGATGTCCCCATCCCAGCCGCTAGGTAGTCGCCTCTTGTGCGCCATTCCATAGTTGGCATTCGATGGACTCGATTCCATGCTGTGGTCAGGACCCGGAGAACTGCTGGCTCACGAATGACTCCATGGTTGCCACGGACCGGAGACCGTAGTTTTGAGCCCGTGAGTGCAGTGTTTCCTTGTCAGGATTATTGTTCCTGCAAAGACGACTGCCGGTGCATGCCAGGGTGGGAAACCGAGTTATGTGGGTCACTGGTCGCCTTTCGATTATGGCTATGGATTCTTCAGCAAGATGCGGGGCTGGCAACAGACGGCGACAGGGTGGTTTCACGCGGAGTGAGACACCACATTTAGTATGCATCTGCCTGTGGGGTTGCCGGTGCGGACTCCACCCAACCGAGAATGACAATGGTAGTTAGCAGCAACACCTGCAGGTACAGCACTGGCGATATGAACAGATATGGTAATCCCAATTGTCTTAGTGTTACAAGATCTCCCAGGAGCCAAAGGCCTCAATCCTGATTGTTAGTTAATAGTGTTCCGAAAAGCATTCCGAATGTGTTCCTGAAAAGCGTGAAGAATAGTGTTCCACATTTCGAGAGTGTTCCAAAAATCATTCCGAGAGAGCACCCTTGAATCTCACAGCTTCCGGCTGGGAACACATTTTGGAACACTTTCGGAACACTTTTTCAGCAGCAGGTCATTGGCGGAAAATGTTTTGAGAACACTTTTTGGAATGCCATTTGGGAGGCCCGTCCTCTCCAGATCCAGGTCAAAAGCATTCCAAAAAGCGTTCCAAAAAAGTGTTCCAAAAAGTTGCGGCCAGCATTTCAAAAGCAAGTGGCAGCCTACAGTACACTGAATCCCCTAAGCGACCTTTGTGTCCATGGAGCATCATGGTAATGCACAACTTCCAATTCGTCATTTTCTGTCCGATGCCTCGGCCATGGATATGGCTATTGGGGACGATGTTTCGTCTGGTTGGGCCGCTTGCCGCTGCTGCGGGCGGCGTGTCAGGTGGCAGGGCGCCTGCCAGAAGGATTCCTCAGATGATGACGAGGAGGCCAAGGAGATGTGAGCTGCAACACGTTGCCGGGTCATATGATCCAATAGTTGTTTGCGCAGTCGCAGCTGGCATCTAAGTAGCCCGATCAGCGCCACATGGCAGAGGCTTGTCTGCATTTTTTGATGATTTAGCATGGCGTAGCTATCTTGTTTTGTGTTAGAGCAGGTAGCGGCGCGCAAAATGCGAACTGGAGACACTTACCACGTCACTTGGTGGCCATGTCAGTCATTGCTGCGTGCCTACCATGTTGTCACGAACTTGTGGTGCAGGCAACTGGCACGTGCACATTTGTGAATGAAACTGGTCACATGTCCCACGGAACAGTTAGATTTATGTTGGTGGTGGTTGCATAAGCTGCTGTGTACACTTCTGTGTATGCGCCCATGCAAGCCTGTCAGGAACATGTAAGACGGGCCAGCCAGCACTTGACTTTTCAATTTGCATGAGGCGTGACTTGGCACTTCTGCCAGTTGCTGCAAAATCGTGTGTACCTATCCATCATCACCGAGCCTGAAGCCAGCAACGAGTCAAATTTTGGGTCTCCTTGTGCCCCCCCTCCCTGAAGAAGTAGAGTTTGTACTGAACACGCGGCCACCAAATTGCATGCGCCCCCGCCATGATCACCATGGCAGCGTCTGAGATCAGCACTCGTGTTTTTTCCTGCATCTCGTGGTCGCCAAATTTGGAAGTTGGCAGCTTCTTAGAAGCCTCATCGAACTTGGGCCCGGCGTTTTTTGTCTCCGCAAAACACAGTGTATCATCTTCTTGACCCAAATGGAATTTCGCAAAGTCCCCGTGTAGCATCCCTGAGGAGGACCCCTGGCCCTGTAATCCTCTCAAAATCAATGTATGCCCCTTGGGCATCTAAGATTTGCCTCTTCGGCCGCAGTCAGTCAAAGCTTTGCCTTTTCATGCACTTCGAGCTTGTATGCTGTGGAGGTTTCCCTGAGTACATAGATGCCGTGTTGAAAGATGGCTGGGACACAATGAAGGTTCTGCCAAAAATCAAGGACGACAGCCTGCTCTAAGTTAACCAGAACATGTTAAGTTTCGTCATGTGATAGAAGTGATTTACAGGAGAAGGACCTTGACCGAAACAAGTGGAAAAGATGATGGATTGACTTCGGCTTAGCAAAGTATTATGGATCGTGAGCCGTGGATGTGTGGCAGAGTCAGGGCTGAAACATTTGCTAGAATGGAACTGGCTGAGATGTTTGCTGCTTGCACGAAAGGTCTGAATGAGCCCGCGAAGGTTTCAGCAGCCCTTGCTGGGATCAAGGCTGCCGTTTCCAGTGCACGTTGCATTGGTCAAGACTTTTAAGCGTTGTAGTCCACTTGACTAGGAGTACACGCCGGTTTTCTTGAACATCTATGATTGCGGCGACGTTCCGCTGACACCTCTTACAAGAGATTGCAGACAGTTCATAGACAGGCCGAGCACATATGTTGACAGGCAAAATGCATACGGAAATTGAACGAGGCTGCTTGCTCAACCAGCCGTCCACCTGGTGTCATTCAAGTGTGTTGTTCCAGGTGTTGTTGCCATCATGCCTCGGTGGCATCTTTCATGCAGGGGTGGAGGCTGGACGTGCACTGGTGTGGATCGCTTGCGACATGAAGTCCTTGCGAGAGAGGTCAATGGCATGGAGTGGGAGTTCGGCTCTGGAGACAGGCCCTATCCGGGAGTGGGCACTGGCGCAGGGGCATCCCTGGCATTCAATGCAGGCTTCCTTCCTGCCACCCTTTCCACAGCTTTCGGCGAACAGCGGGATCCTTAGTAACCCTAAACCCCTGAGCCCTAAACCCTAAACCCTAGACCCTAGACCCTAAACCCTAAACCCCTAAACCCTAAACACGTTGCACTGCTGTGGCTTTGCAGGTGCACCTGGGCTTCACCAGCATGAGCCCAGCGAGAAGCTGGACGCCCACTGGCCTGTAGTGCGCTCCCCTAAATATTATACCGCCCTCCCCCCCTAATATTAAACATTGCTTATATAATAGAATACTACATAGGGAATATTTAATATTTGGGGGGAGGGGGGTTCAATATTAGGGAGAGCATGCTGGACTGAAACCTTCCAGGAAGATATCATGGAGATCGTAGCACAGCTGTTGGAGGTGGGTTTGCAACAGAATCTTTCCAAAATTCATATCAGTCTGGTGATGGTTACTGCCCATGTACAGGCATATCCCGGAGATGACTATGATGTACTTTCAAGGAACTGTTGTCATTTTGCAGATGACTTCAGCAGGACTGGGTCACTCACCCATTTTCTGGTAGGTGGAAGTGCTGGAGACGTAGGATGTTTGTTGCGTCAGGAGATTGGGTGTTGGTGGCACTTCTGGAATATTTTGGGATACTTTTCAACTCTGCGTCAAAATCAGAATGCTTTTCCCCACGGTTTTCAGGAATGCTTTTGGAATGCTTTTCGGAACATGAAACAATCCGATCTACCCCTCCCCTTGTTTTGGCTTTCTGGATCTTGTACTCTAAGTGGCCGTGGCATCGGATATAGCACCCAGCAGTAGTAGGGACGGTAGCTGCAGGGAGTAACTTACGTTGACAAGCAGTCATAATAGTTTTCTATCCCAGCCGAAGTCACTGTTGCTGTCGCAGGGAAGCGCCGTCATCAGTCATATAGATCTAGGAACCAAAATGGCAATTGTCATAGCTTTCTTTTTCACGCGTTGCTGTACTGCTGCACTGCCGTTGTTGCGCCTCGTACTTCCATCGTTAGGGAGATGGCCATTGCTGTCCCCGATGTCAACCTCGGCTCGACGGTGGAAAGCGAAGCGGAGGAAGCCAACAAGCGCATCTCACTAAATTTTCGGGCTGCAGGGAGGAGGATCAAATAGAGTGGGTACTAAACCTAAATAAAGATTTGGGCAGGGGCGTTGGGCTGCAGAGGAGGAAGAGAACAAAGGGAGACTTGCACAACTTTTCTGGAGTTAGAGGCGGGAGGGGGGGCAGGCGGTGTGGGGCGGGGGAGACGGGGGGGGCGTGGGGCGGGGGTGGCCGGCAGGGCTGAGGGGGGGGGGGCCGGCCGGGGCGCGGGGACACAAAATGAGGGAACAAGTGTTTGAAATGGACCCAAATGCAAGAAATACAGCAAATGTCCATTCAAGCCTGTTCAGAAACAGTCAACCATGAGGTTTTTGGGATCGAATTTCCCACGTGCCGGGCGCAGCAAGTCATGATGACAATAATTCGTTTTCGACTGAGAAAATCACTTCGACTATGCTTTAACCCTCAAGACGGTTGAGGCCTGGGGCCTCGGCGGATTAATGCTTGGTGGGTGTGTGTGAGTGTGCACAGATTCCGCTGATCCGCAGAACGCCTCGCTGTGAACGTCCAGCTAGGGCGGTTCGCCGCCCGTAGACTGCCTTCTAGCAGTTCCCTTCCTGAAGGTGTTCGGAGGCAGATTGCTCGACGGACAACGTTTCACAGAGAAGCTTCACATGTGAATCTCGACTGAAATCAAAGCATGCGAACACGGCAGCACTCGCCTTGTCCGAATTACACATGCTCGAGGCCTACAGCGGTGTTGCCGCCAACATGACTGAGAGGATCCAAGTCAAAGGATCGCTTCGCTGGCTACCTGAGGACTCTGTGGCATGTTTGCCATCATTGCTTTTACAGCGATAGCTGTTCACACGTGTGCTTCCAAGCCCATGCGTGTGACTACATGTGACTGTATGCTTGCTTTGCAGGAGGCCTCATATAGATATGTTCCTGAAAAGCTTGCGCGTTCAATGGGGTTTAGGGCTGTAGAGTGTTAGGCGGCGGCTGCAGAGGTGCTTCGGCAACCCTGCATGCCCATGCCCTTTCTTGCTTGCTTGCTTGCTTGCTTGCTTGCTTGCTTGCTTGCTTGCTTGCTTGCTTCGTTTCGGCTACGAGGCCTTAGCAGAGCACTTCGGAAGTAAGGTGGACTTTGCCGGGAACTTGCTGTACGCAGGGCAGAACTTGAAGTTTGGTGCACTTGCACTCGAAGCAACGACAGATGGTGGTGGATTGCACACGATCAGTTGAATCACGTGCATGCTGTTGCTTGGAGTCACTGATTAATTACATGTGGAAAAGACTTTGCCAAAGCTCTGGCTGCGAATTATTGACCTCTGAAAATGTACTCTGCAGCTTTCAGCTCGCATTTCACGAGCTCGGACAACTTGTGTCCGTTATCTCCCACTTACAATCGCGTATTAATTTGCGACTTGTGGCAATGCAGGTCATTCGCAAAGGGGTCTGAACATGAAAATGTCTACACAATGCAAATAAGCCGACGGGCCAACACTCCGAACGAACGCGTTCAACGTCGCCGTTGAACAAAAGTGAGAGCACTCGTGGAGACTGCTGAATGTTGGGTTGCTGCATCGCCTTGCCGTCGGATAGGACTGGTCTTGTGGTGGTGATGCCCTGGCAACAAGTTCCTATTTTGCAGATGGCACGAGACTTAGCCCGTCTATGCACCTACAAGCATGTATGCGAATTTACTCTGTCCAGTTGCTAAGGAACCTGTGACTGTGGATGTGCGAGATATGATCCAGATTGCGCAGGGTTGTCAGGCAATCCGCAGGCCTTTCAATTGAAAACTGCTTTTTGGGAGTATTTGGAGCACGCTTTTTCAGAGCCAACAGTGTAACAGGCCTTTGCAGAGGAGATTGATGGTGGCAACGGAACTGTCCGAAACTACTGTGCCAACGAGGCACTTTTGTGAACCTTTGTTGTCTCCTGTGCATTTCGACTTTGCTAGCTTGATTTGTACCTTGGTGGCTTGGTGTGTACCTCTTGGTGCACGTGGGCCTTGCTAGGCTAGGGATAAGAAACTTGTCAGGCAGCCTTGCTGGGAACCGACGGTTGGAACACCACAGTCCGCTCCCCGTTCGGTCCTTCCCGCGCATGTCAAATTGGTGCTTGCGCAGCTGGCTTTCACAGGTAACATCGGCTGGGTGCCAGGGTTTCTTCTTCATCCAATTGCATGCAGCAGTCCGAGCTGAAGATGAGTTATGTGAGTCTCCAAGCGTTGCAAAGCTTTTGAGCAGTTTCTGTACGTCTGTCCTCGTGTCTTCACATCACATCGTGGCGAGTGTACAAACAGGATCAAAAAACTTATGCAGTAGCTTGTTTGAAGCGAACTCTTCAGTTCCGTCAGCAAGCTGAAGCTGTCCCGTTCGGCGAATTTGAGATTGACTGCTTGATGAGCAAACTGCGGAGGATCTGTCTCTCATCCCAGATCTGCTTTGCTTTGCCTGCATTGGTATCGCAAGACAAGTAAGTGTTGCGATCCCGTGGCCAAGCCGGACGCAACAAAACGAAAGCACTGCCCGCACTGAGTCACATTCCAATTAGGTTCCGCTCACCGAAGACTAATGAAAATCAACATGCAGGGGTTCAAGTTCGGCCGGCAAGCAAGAACCAAGCAAGGCGTTGGGTGTGGGGGACAGAGGCCCGGAGGCGTGGAGCCCAGACCAGCAAGAGAGCGACAACAAGACAATCGAAGGTCTTGAAAGGAACAGTGATCAGCCCACGCAAGCCAGAAAGCACAGACAACGCATGCTTATGGTGTCGTGAAGCATACCAGGGAGTTTAGGCGAGTCCTCTGAGGTAGTGAGAATTGCAGAAACCACCCGATGGTTTATCAGGAGTCTATCGCTTGAAGGCTGACAGAAGTCTACGAGTTTGCTTTGCACGACGCAATGTTTTTTCTTCTGTTGTGAGCATCGCTTCACCTGTCTCGCGGCCAGCACCAGCCATAGTCCTGAGTCTAGATTCTCTCTTTCAGTTCCATTGGGTATTTTGTCGGCGACTTTGTGAGGTTTTGAAAAGTATGCGGTTCAATTCAATTGAGTCGCTGATAGGTAAAGCCTAAGACGAAATTGGAGTATCTAGTTTAGTCACCTTGAGGCAGTCGAAGCTTCATGATGTGAGCGCGAGGTCAAGGCATCTCTGCTACAGGCACACCCTGGAGCGGCCACGGCAATTTTGTGTTTTTTCGCGGAAAAGAATAAGTCCTCTAAGAGCATAAGTCTTCTGCTAGTCCATTCACGGAGAAGCAAAAACTGCTTTTGCCCGGCAAAATCTCTGTAGTCCTCAGCCGCATGAAAACACAGAAGGCAAATTGCTCCGGATCTTTGGGCTCTGTGGTCCAACCACCCGGCCCTCCAGTATTACTCCCACCTGCTCGGGCGAGTTCAAGTTTACCAGTTTATCGTGGACTGCATCGGAGCTGCCATGTCATTTTTCGGCCTTTTGGGGCCTGTCTGTGCTTCAACGTCACTCCTGCCAGTAGCCAAGAACACAACATGCTGGAGTCGTCGCCTTTATCCCATTCGCAGAACGTCAAAAACTTGTGCGCTGCGACTTGACGAGTCTCCTTTACTTTCCTGGTTAGGACTTCTCAGTGCTCTGCCTCCAGGCTTCCTCAACTGCACCCACGAGATGGTCTCCGACTGTGTGTCGAAGGTGGGCTTGAGAGCCAGCCGGATCCAAGCCAGCCATAGCCAGCCTGTAGCGTGCCGAGGGAAGAAGATGTGTCACTCATGTTGCAGTTTGACGTCGCGAGCCTCAGAAGAGCCTCTTGTAGCCAGTGTGATGCGCCTGAGCAACTCCAATCTGAGGCAACTTGTGCCTTTGACGACGCTTCGGGGTTCAAAGCTGACGGAAGCATCATCTTGCGCGTACAAGACGTCAGTCTTGGCGAAAACTGCGCCAACTACACGGATGATGACGCGTGAATCTGACACGCTTCAGGGTTTGCCGTGATGTGAAATCTCCAAGCACCAGCGGCAGAATCAATTTCGGCAGGAGGTGTGCATGGGGCAGTGTTTCAGAGGCCAGATCAAGACTTCTGAAGCAGGGAAACCACCATCGGACCATCGGATGTAAAGCAGGCCAAGTACCACTGCAGCCGCTTGGAACTTTGCAAGGCGGGAAATTCCAGCCGACTCTCTAGCTCCTGTAGTTTTGTGTAAAGCATTCTCTGCAGGCTGTCTACTGTGATGCCAACGCGTGCTTTGCCGCCACCAGCACCAACATGAGCCGCGAGCTCAGCAGAAGATATACTGATATACTGCTTTGATCTGCCTTGCGTTGTCAATCCACCAGCTCTGCCATTCTTAGGCTTCTGGACAGAGCCACCTCCATCTGTGGTTTCTGACTTACGAAGCATGTCCACGTACCCTCTCATCTATCTTCCAGGGCATTCTACCGAAGCGATGCGAAGCGAATTTGCAGGATGACAACTCATCAACAGCAAGTGCCTGGGCCGGCTCCTGTGATTCCATGGGTCCGGCCTGTTTTCTGTGTCAGCTCTGAGCAAGTTCGTGTTGTGAACTCTTGGATGAGCTACTGCCTCTAGTTTTGCTGCACCATGATTTTTCCTGTGGCCTGAAGTTGCCGCCCTGCTGATTCCACTGCTGCTGGTGTTGCCGGTGTTGCTGCTGCGTGCTGCCTTCTGCTGCCTTCATCTGCTTTCTGCTGCCGCAGCTGCTTCCAGCAGCTTTGCTGCCGCGATGCTTCCGTGTGTTTCTTTGCTGCCGGCTCTACGTTATCTTCTGCTGCTGGTGTACCTCTTACTGGTGCTGTTGGTGCCATGCCACCGAGTTCAAGTCGGATCCTGCTTGCCATTCAGCCAGAGGCCCAGTTTTGTACTTGTTTGGCTTGTGCTGCGTCGATGTTCGAGCTAAGGCTCCTGCCTGGGTACTGGCTCAAAACAGCTCTCAGACGTGTACGGAGGCACGTCCGATCAGGTACGCGCTAAAGAGCTGCAGACAGCAACACGTGAGGCTTGCGAAGCTCGAGGTGACGTTTGCGACGAGATTGCCTTGAATCTGACGTCCAGTTGCATATTGGAGCATGGCGGCCACGTCGCACATGCAGCAAACGGCGTCCTTCGAAGGATCGACACTCTGGAAGAGATGAGTTTCTTAAACGAGAAGGCCGAGCACCCAGCGAAACTGTTCTTGCAATTTTCACGGACACTGACAGGCAAACCTGTCCTGTCTCGGCTACACGAGCCACTCATTTGGCAATGCGCCGGGGCCCTCCTCGTCCGAAAGCACTGGATGGCATTGTCTTTTTAGACTTGTTCAGAAAGCTTGTCTGCACTTCTTGGATTGGTCAAACTGACCCGTTTTGCACACTGCGGCTAAGCTTTGAGGCCTGGTATTTGCACGAACAGCTCCTGCTGCGGTGGTGATTGTGCTGGCCAGTGCGTAAGATCCTCGGTGCATTCCGGTAGTCCATGACTGTGGAATGATCCTGCCTCAGTGACATCCCACATTTCGGCTGACACCATGCAACACGTTTCACGTCTGTGTCTTCTTGCAACACTGCACATAATCAAGTGAGCGAGATAATCTGGATGCACGTTCTGCCTACAGTGGCACGTTCACAGAGTCCATTCCATGTTCGCTGATGGCCTCGAGACTCCAGACCTCACTGCGCTACTATTTTGACGGGTAAAATTCTGTGGATGGAAGCGAAGTCTTTTGAACATTGCATCTTTGCATCTGCAAGATCTGCGCAAACATGTTGCAATTTTTGCAACAAGACTCACAGCAATGCGAACAAAAGTTGAATGACATATGACAATACGACGAGGAGACAAACGAAAGCATGTTGACAAGTTCAAAAAGGATCAGTGGGCCGCGGACGCGGGAAGCTGTTCGAGGTCCGTTGACCATTGACTTGCACTGCATTTGGTAAAGTTATGAACGACACAAGAACGAATAACACGCATGACAACGACCGCCAGTCGTAGCTTCTGTGGGCCTTGCGCGGCTCAAGTCGTCGTCCTCCTCCTCCCGTCCTTGAGCATCTCGTTCTTTGTCCTTGCCCTTTACTTGAGATCTGGAGGGCCTCATGCTTCAGATTTGGAAGCTGGGGTCTGGAGGTCAATCGTTGAGCCCGTGCCGATCCAAAAGAACCTTGTGGGGTGGCGGGTCGTAGCGGCACAGACGTGCAAGCTAATCACGGCGGCTACGTGATCACAACTGACCGTTGTCCTTGTCGTGACATCGCTAGCTTTCGAATTACCACGGCCATGCAGCCATCGTTCCATTTTCCAATCACCACGGCTACGCGTGGCAGGATGAACCAGACTGGGTAGGTCCTGCCCCTCTCAAGTGCCTGTCATATCCAAAGTTCTATGGTGCGCCTTTGCACGAGATAGGACAGGAGCCCCCATGTGGTTGAGTGCGTGCTTGGAACAAACCCGAGAGTGGAAAGTGCAGCAGCAGAGTTGCAGCATGATTGCAGTGGCATTGAGGTGTTTGGCCACACAGGTACGAAGAGAAGCGCGACACTACGTTTCGCAGCTTCCTCGGCATGGCAATATGCATTTACAAGCCTTTGAGGTTGTGGTTCCAGTGCTGGCGACCATGATGGTCTTCTCCGGCTTTGCCCTTGCAGTCCTTCCAACCAGGCACCGGGTCCCCAAGTACTCCTTTTGTGCGGCTTCATCCGCACCATTGTGCCGCAGGTCAGACAGACTGCTGTGAATTCGACCACAGTGACGGCTCATGTCCCTGAGCTTCCAGACTTCGGAGAGGCTATTCAGCTTGCGTGTGACTTTCTACGCCCCTGCGCTCGCAAGGGTTTTGTACGTAAGCATTGCTGGAGCATGGCACAGGGATCACTTGAAGAGGCGAAGCCTGTGGTCGTGGACGAGGAGCTGGAGGTCAGCATGCTCCAGGCCGGAGTCAACGCAGCCTCGACTCGACTTTCGATTCTTCTGGCAAAATCGGCTTTGCCTGTGCAGTCTCATTGTGCGGTGCCAGTACAGCTGAGGAAGATCGCAGTGTCTCTGACCAGATCTAGGGAACTGAATATTGCTCTCACGAAGTGCTCTTGTCGGAAGATAGTTTGCAAATCGGGTGTCCGGGCTGTGTATGGGTTTGGCAAGTCATGTTGCGAGGGCTGCGAGGGCGGGGGACCTGTCCATCTTCTCTTGTCTGCATGTTGGGGTTCCGATGCCTCCACACCGTCTTAATGCTGGTGGTAGGGATCGGCGGGATCCTAAAGGGCTGCTGCCTCGCAGAAGCTCGTAATGTCGGTGAGCGCTTGGAGGGGGCGGAACAGATTCACTTTGTCAGGGTTTTTCGCTTAAATCGGTTCTGCGGACAGTCAGGACGCCTAGCGGGCCGAACCCATGCCCCTGTATGCGTCGTTGCAAGCATGCCTAAATTATATTTGCAAAATTTAGAATAGTAACTCCGAAGCATTACGTCACACTTTGCTAGAGAAGGAGAACACCGGGAGAGGACCAGTAGTGAGTGTCGCGAAGGAGGCTTGTGCGATGGGCGTTCAGATTCGAGTAGTTGGTACAGGCCACAAACTAGCAGGTGGTCACCGTGCTACTAGTGTAGGTCGGGCTGTGTGTTCTCATGTGCTTTACAGGCAGTTCTGTCTCAGCAGATTCAGCTGGACAACACCTCTTCTAGGCCGGAGGAGCAGTAGTTGCTTTGTTCATGCGCGTTTTTGTCGTGGTTCAGCCGTCTGCTCAGATACAGCCGCTACGTGAGCATCCGAAATGGTTCATGGCTCGGGACCGAGAAGCAACTATAACTCACTGACTTGCGTTCGGTCCCCCATCTTCTCTATGATCCAGGCCATACTCTGCAGACAATACAAGCGATTGGACTTCGGATTGGTCCTCCAACGACTTGGGGCTCAGGGTGCATGGCTAAGTCTTGGAGGCCCTACGAGTATGGGCCGCATGACGAGGAAGTTGTAGACTTCTTCGACAAATGCAAGGTCTTGTCCTTCAATTTTACTCCGGACATCAATGCATCAGCGCCGACGTCCAGCTGGCACATGACATGGAGGTGTGGACATGACTTCTCACCTCAGCCCGAATCACAGCGATGTAGCATCCAGCCCAGTGCAAAGGGCGAGGAGTGTAGGGCTTTGTGGAGGGCATCCTGAGCCACGAAAGCTGGCCGAGCCGGGAAGCTTTGGGTGAGCGGTAGGCCGATAGGAGTGTTGGCCGTCCTGAGAGCAGGTCGTTGACAGTTCCTAAACTGCCTAGGAGCGATGGCCGCAGTAGCATGCATGATAGGCTGCAGCGAGGAGTCAAACCACTTGTTCCGGCCGGATGACGAATAACCGGTCGTTCTGTAGCAAAGCCACGCCGGATAGGGATGCAGAGCCACCGACTTTTCCAAGCGGACCGTGGATGCAGAGCGGCCTTGGAGGTACGTTCTTCAGGCTGGACGTGTGGTCAGCTCTGTGTGCCCTTCACGCTTTGGTTCCTCATGCTCCTTTACCCCGGCCAAGGGCCAAGCTCAAGCGGATTTGTCGATTTACCGCTTCCTGCGCTTGAAAATGCATTGATAAGCGAGCCGTAAGGCACACGTTTTCATCAATGGCGTCCTGGTCGAAACGATTCGAATCTGGGCGGTGCCCGAGTCATCGGTGGAACTCGACAGCCTGAACCACAGAGAAGGGACGCGAATGGGAGCGAGATCTGCTCGCGGTCGCATGCAGTCGCGCCGATTCAAGGCTGGGTTGCCAGTGAGGACGTGGTCAGCAGCGACACCTGTATTGAATGCTGCAGCCTTGGGAAGGGGCAGTGTCTGTCAGCCTAGTCTGGCATTCCGGCTTCAGGCAAGAATATGACGGCAGCGATCTCTCTGAAGAACGGGGCCAACGAGGTCTGTGGCTGCTGCGTTGGTCTTTGTGGCATCAGTGCCTTCGCGAGGTCAACATAGTCCTCGAGGAATCTGAAGATGCAGAAGCCAGCTTGATGAATGGGTGCGAAATCCCAGGAGACTGTTTAATCTTGCCATGGGGCTCAGGCTAGCTACAGCTTGAGCGTGCAGCAGCTGAACTTCTTGCCAACGTGCCAAGTGGCCATGCAGGTGTCGGGATGTGTCGGGCATGGGCTGGAATTGTTCGAGCTGATGGTCTTGCGCTGCGACAGGACACATGGAGATATCGCTTCTGCAAGCCGTATGACGCCACGCCAACTTGGGACAAGTTCGCCACCTATGCAAGCAGCAAGACAGCTAGAATCTGTTGAAAGAGCAAGACTGTCGTTGTGGGGCAAGCAAGGTCCAAGATTAGGCAGACATCGCTGTATCTTTGGCAGCGGGAGAGACTGGAGGCACATGCAGTCCAGCGTGTAGATGTGTGCCAGGATGCTTGTTTGTAAGGTGCTTACATTTGCGGCACCTGTGCGATTGAAGCACGACCGTGGCACAGTGGTTGAGGTGCCATACTAGGTAGCTTGTGGCCTGGGTAGTTCACTGTTGTCCCTTATGTCCTTTGCTTTCTCACCTCCTGACCCTGTGCAGACCGTGGTAATGTCGCCGAATACAACGGATGCCAACCCTCTGGACTTCGGCGACCCCACATTTTTCGAATTTGGCCTGGCATAGATCTTTCGCTTTGAGGGGAGCTTGTCAACTGGAAAGGCTGGCCTGCTTCTTGTGCGCTGTTGCTAAGGACTTGGTAGATTTCGGGATTCAAAACAGAAGCGGCGCGGAGAACGACACAGGCGTTTCACTCAGCAGATCTCAGCAGTCTGCAGATCCCTGCCACATCCTGCCACCTCAGGTTCCCGAAGGCTAGACAGTGGTGGAGCTGAGCTCAGCCAACACTTGCCCACAAGCATACACGGCATCCGTTTCGTCGACGTTCTCTGGAGGAATCGTTTCGCGGTCGCCAGCTCAAAACAGCGTGGATCTAGAGGACCTTGGGCTCAGACATCTCTGTCAGAGCCAACTATGGCCTGCATAGGAGAAAGGGTCAACGGAAGATCTGCGCATCTTTAGCTCCTATCACGCCCAGCGTCCAGGCGCTGTTGTCTGCTCTGCGCGAGTTTTGCGTGGCTTGTCCTGCGCCTCAGGCAGTGCTGCCGAGACGCTTGGTCGTATGGCTGCAGCAGACGAGGCGAAGCTTCCAGTCGGGCAGCAGTTTTGATTCAGCACTCCCCCGAAGGTCCCCCCAGATGTGGTGGTTGCAGAAGTGCAGCATCCTCTGTTGTTGGCCGGTGCAAGTTGGCTCGCGGAAAGAGATGTGTCCTCACTGGCGTGGAGGATGGACGGAAGCGGTGAAGTTCGCCTGGTTTTCACCGAATGGGTCGTCAAGGCAGCATCCTCAGTCAAGTCTAAGTGCTGCTTCCAACCTGACCACTCCTCCGGAGGCCAAGCAATCCTCGATGATGGCTTCTTTACGAGTAATGCCACAAGACAGGCATCATGCCATCTCAACAAGCTTGTGCTGGGTGCATGCCTGATGTCAGGCTGCGGACCCATGATATGAGGCTGATGCAGGTATGGCCTCACTGTCTCTCTCGCTGGCAAGTCTCGGCACCGGACAATTCAGCCTGACAGGTAGATCTGATGAAGCGTGGCAAGGTTTTCGTGGAAGCACCTCCTCTCAGCATCACGTTCCTCACGTCCAGTCTGATGTCGTTACGTAGCATAGCTGGTTGAGCCTGGTTTCGTTGCAGGGCAGAAGGAAGTCTGCAATCGTACAGATCCGGGACCAGCTCTTGGAAGCTGGCGGAGCCCTCAGCCGAAAACTTGAGGACTCGTAAATCTGCTGTTGACCGAGGATGTGTCGCAGAAAGTTTTACGGGATGCCAGGCCAGATGGGCCCAGAATGAAGGGTTCCTATTCGTGAAGGAGGAGAGATGTTGCGGACTGCGGGCGTGAATCAAGTTGGAAAGAGGGCCCTTTTCGTAAGGCAAGTAGGTAAGACGTGAGCTTGGACAAAGTTGTTTGTGTGTGTGACAGAGTCTTGTAAAGCTTCCCATGAGTACCGCTCGAGCACAGCAAGGACTGCTACAGATTCTGTAGGGTTGGTAGGAGATGCAGCCTGATTGATCCGGCCTGTAGCAACGACCCAAGGGCCAACGAGTCGCCTCCAGTATCCCTGCAAGCTTTCATAGCAACTTCTGAATTGATTTTTTTGGCTCCCGAGTGAAGCTCACAGGCAGTGCTCGATCTGCCTGAGGGTGCCTTCTTGGATCGCAACAGGCACGGCTGTGGTCTTGTTCGGGTCGCCCATAACGGGGCAAGATTTAGGTGGTTCCAGATTTCTCAGAAATCCAGGCTGTAGCTCGTCGCAAAACGCTGGGCTGGTGAGCAAACTGTTTTGATCACCCAGTCAGTCAATCATTCAGTCTGACTGCGGGAGCCAAGCCAGGCAGGCGGGCAGGCAGGCAGGCAGTAACTGGAACCCAGTCACTCAGTGAATCAGTGTCGGCGATACGAGAGGAATCCCTCAAAGCCGCGCTCTGTATTGATTGACAACCTCTTGTTCATCGACACCGCGATGCTGGAGGAGCATTCTTAGAGCTTTCAACAACTCGATCTGAAGGGGTTGCTGTTCGTGGTCCTTCCCCCGTTCTCACTCGAGCAGAGTCGTGTGATGGCGCCCGCCTTCGTCTTGCCGAGAGGAGCATGAAACTGCGAGCTCGCTCTCACTCCAGCTCCCTCTCATTCTCCTTCCTATCTACATAATATTTAACGATGAGACTTGTACTGGCCAACACCTGACATCTGTCTCTTCACATCTCATATCTAACATCTAGTAAATCTAGTACCGGTATCTTGTATCTGCACTCTTTTCTGTCATTGTTTCTGTATCGGGATCTGTGTCGGTCCCTGTGCTCGTATCTATCTCCGCTTCTGTTTCTGTCGCTCTGTCTATCTATCTATCTGTTTCTCTGTCAATCTGTTTCTGTTAAAGTTGCGCTTGCGGTTTTGCTTGACCTGTCATCATGGATCGCTGCTTTTCGGCCTACAGAAGGGCCCTCTTGAGCTTCCTTACTCTTTGCACTGCAGTGAGAAACATGTGCGCTTGATCGACTGACGCCTTTGTGCTGTGCTAGCGTTTAGTCAAGTTGGCACCGGAGCCTGCTTTCCTCCTGCGATGCCCAGGGTTCCGATATTCCAGATGGATGCTCAGGACGAGTCCGCCGACTCCCTTCCCGATCTGGAGAACCTTGAGTCAGCGTCGCAGATGATGGGACCAGGGACCTCTGAAGAAGCCAACCCGGCGAGTCCTTGGAGGTGTTCCTCTTGCGACGGAGGTGCACTGAACCAGGACCCAGCTGGCTTCTGGAGCTGCGTGGATTGCGGTTCGACCCTGTGCTACCACGTGGACCAGCCTACGAGAAGGCGCGGCACACGGCCGCGGGATGTGGCACTACCTTCCTGGAGACACCTCCCAGAGCCTTCTTGGACTGCTCCTCAGTTCGGTGGTGCGGGGCCAGTTGCGGGGCCCCCTCCCGCACATCCCGGCTTCTTTGCTACCAATACGAATGGGCCAGTGGCCGGCAGCCGCCGGCGAAGGCGACGAAGACCGAGAGCGAACCCACCGGATGATGACGCCACCGAGGCCTCTGAGCAGCCCGAGTCCGAGAACCAGACCTACGACCCTACTGTGTCGGTCTCCTCGACCCCTTCGGTGGCCTCGCGGCGAGCAGTTCGTCATGACCCGTGGTCGCCGCTACTCCGTGGACCTTGTCAGCCTCCTGGCCTACCCCAAGCACCACGAGCCCCTCGCGGAGATGACCGGCAGCTACCTCAAGGCGACGATCATGAAGAAGAACATCCAGCTCACTTGTTGGGTTTCGACGGTGCGGCCGGCACCCCGGGGCGCAAGGACACTAAGGGCGGCAAGTCCAGCTCGTCGTCGTCAAGCTGGAACAGCAGGATGGGACCCGAGAAGAAAGTCCGTTGGCGAGGCGGGGCACCGCCTACTCCCCCGCCCTGGAAATATGATCCCAGCGACCTTCGGGCTTACAGCAAGTGGGCAAGGAAGGTTCAGATTTGGCAAGTCCAGATCGCGAATTACATGAACAAGCGCGAGGCGGCGCTCTTCTTGTACACCTCGTTGACCGGAGAAGCGGAATCTGAACTAGAGCACGTGCCTTTGGAAAAGATCAATTGTGATTCCGGTATCCAATTTATCTTGGACTCTCTTAAGGAGCCTATGGCCCAGAAGACTGTATATCAGAAGCGCAAATTCCTTGCCGACTTCGAGGGCATCAACAGATACCCTGGCGAAGGCCTCAGGACATATGCGAACAGATATCGTCGCATTGAGCGGTCACTGGAGGCGCTCGGAGTGCAGATCACCGGCATGTATGACGACGAGAGCCGCGGCAACAGGTTGTTGGAGAGAGCTCGCCTCAGCCCCTCGGATCAGAGACTGGTTCTGGTGGGGTCGGTGGGGTCGAGGTACTCACTTTCCTTCGAAGATGTCATGGAGTCGATGACGATGCAATGCCCGGATTTCCGGGCAGCTCCTCCGGTCATGGGCCGAGACGGCCAGGTCCTCAACCAGCGCGGCAAAGACGGCAAAGGCGGAAAACCATCCAGCCAGCAAGGCCCTTCGACCTCGGCACCTCCAAGGCAACAGGCCCCCGGATACGGCAAAGGCGGCTACCCTCCTAAGAGGGTCTTCGACTGAGTCGGGCGAGGGCTTCGAGACCCAGGCCGGCCACCAGGACACGGAGCACGCCTTCGAGCCGATCAGGGAGGACGAGGCCGAAGACGACGAAGCAGCCGAGCAGGACGAGCCACAGGAAGCAGACGATGATGCAGCAGAGCTCGAGGACCTGGCCCAGGTCCTCACGGTGACAGCCCGCCGCCTGGCGAGCGCCCGTCTTGGACGTAAGTACAGTGGATCCAAGGTCCCCGCGGCAGAGCTAAAAAAACGAACCACGTGTGCGGCCTGCGGTGAGATCGGTCACTGGAAGGGTGACGCAGAGTGTCGAGTCACAGGCGGCAAGGGCAATGCAACACACAAGCCAGCCACCGCGAAAGGTGCCCCACCGACTGCAACATCATCGGCGCCAGCTGGCAAGACGGGCGGCAAGGGCAACAAAGGACAACCCCATCAGGCCTTCATGGTAGCCCACAGTGACCTCGGCAGCTACGAAGTGTATTCGGAAGAGTATGGCCAGAGCTTTGCAGACCCCAGCTACGATGTGAGAGTAGTCTTTGCAGCGCAGATGATTCATGATATGAGTTCGGAGTTTGCGGGCTACATGGTACTAGACACGGCGTGCCAGCGAACCTGTTGTGGCAGGACCTGGGCACAGAAGCACTTCAACTACCTCAGCGGCATCCACCTCGAACTTCTTCTGGGTAAGACTGTCCAGCGGCACCAACGTACAGGTGCTAGGGCTTGCAGATACTGCTACCGGCTATCATCAAGCCGCGATCCTCCGGGAAAAGTCATCGAGAGATGCCTACGACCTCCTGCGCACCGTTTGGTTGCGACCTTACGGTTTGCCAGTCCGACTACTGCTGGATCCCGATCCACTCTTTCAGGGAGAATTCCAGGAATTGCTCTCTACAATCAATGTGCAGGTGGACTATTGTCCAGCCGAGGCCCATTGGGTCATAGGCACGGTCGAGCGGAGGAACTGCGTACTCAGAACAATCCTCGAGAAGATGAAAAAACGACAACGTTGTCGATGACATTGATCGTCTGGACCATGTTCTTTCAGCAGCCGTTCACGCTCTCAACTCCTTCGTGACCGTCAAAGGACGCTCCCCTTACCAAGCCGTCTATGGCAAGATTCTTTCTTTTCCTTCGGCATCAATTCCAATGACTCGCTTTGCCAGGACGACACGTACCATGCTTTGATGCGTTGTGCTTTTGCAGGCGTGGTCTCCATCGTCGTGGCCCAGGTTTTGGATCTTGAGGCTGGCCTTCAGGGAGATCGCATTCTTCATCGCATTGTTCAGCTACTTACGGCT